ATCTCGAGGCCAGGCCTCCCGTAGGGCTGTCCTCTCAAAGGTCAGAAGGTATGCCTCTACATCATCCTCCCGTATCATTTTCTGCAGCCAATGGCTGGCCCGTATGAGCCGCGTCCCATCATGGCCGCGATTCAGCTCTGTAAGGGACTTTACCTGGTTTACCAGTTCCCGCAACATAGCTCGGTCTTGAGCAGCCTGGTCCATCAGCAGGCGATTAGTCTCTTGCTGCAGCCGCATTGCCTCCTGTTGGGCGGCTGCCTGGACACGGGTAGCCTCTTGCTGGGCCGCCTTAGCTTGTATCAGTGCCCGCACTACGTCATCCATTGTGGTGGGGAAAAAAAATAAACCCTCTCCCCTTTTTTTTTTTTAAATCACCCTCCTTCTTCCGCCGCACTGTGCACCCCAAGATCCCACTTTTGACACCAGTGTGACAAAGTTCCTCCTCTATCTTGGTGGGTCCTGCGCTTAATGGCGGATTTTCTTGCCTCAGAGATTCACCATGTGGGTTGGGGAACAGCCCAGAGACCTTCCCCTCTGGAAGAACCCACAGTCCAGGTCAATTGGGAGGTTTGGGGGGAACCCGGGCCCGCCCTCTACTCCGGGTTCCAGCCCAGGACCCTATGGACTGCAGCTGTCTATAGTACCTCCTGTAACAGCTGCCTGACAGCTACAACTCCCTGGTCTACTTCCCCATGGCCTCCTCCAAACACCTTCCTTATTCTCACCACAGGATCTTCCTCCTGGTGTCTGATAACGCTTGTGCTCCTCAGTCCTCCAGCAGCATATCCTCTCACTCTCAGCTCCTTGCACCTCTTGCTCCCAGCTCCTCACACTCCCACCACAAACTGAAGTGAGCTCCTTTTTAAAACCCAGGTGCCCTGATTAGCCTGCCTTAATTGATTCTAGAAGCTTCTTCATAATTGGCTCCAGGTGTCCTAATTAGCCTGCTTGCCTTAACTGGTTCTAGCAGGTTCTTGATTACTCTAGTACAGCCCCTGCTCTGGTCACTCAGGGAACAGAAAACTACTCATCCAGTGACCAGTATATTTGCCCTCTACCAGACTCCTGTACCCCACTGGTCTGGGTCTGTCACTCCTCCCAACACCCCTGTGAGGTAAGGAAGTGCTATTATCTCCATTGTACAGAGTCAAGGCCACCTCAGATCCCAGGGGGTCAGGGAAAGGAGCTCAACTTCAACTCCCCCAAAGGGGCAGAGGCCCTCAACTCCTGGCCCACATATGGGGGGCAGGGAGAGGAGCTCAGACCCAGTGTTGGAGGGGCAGAGTCCCCCAGATCCCAGCTTGCATGGGGGTTTGAGGAGAGGGGCCCCCCCGAAAAGTTAGAGCCCCTTCTAAATTAGCTGTACTACTCAGGGCCCATTCCTAAAAAGAGGAAACCCATTTATCAGAGGCAGATAGTAGCAACAGGCCTGTAGCTCATTCTCACATTTCTGCCAAGGGCAGAACATGGAGTGCAGCGCATATTCAATGGCCAGAGCAGGCCTCTTTCAGCCACCCAGTTACTGAGAGAACAGGCTACCTGCAAACCCTTTTGTTTCAACAGAGCCCTGGGCTTGCTGCACGTGGGTATTTCATTCTCTTCAGCAGGTGGCAGTGGGTGGGCATTGTTTGCTGCCAGGGTTATTTGGCCAGCCAGTAACACTGAGGAGTCCAGAAGGACCCCAACCTGCAGACCAATTTAACCATCTGAAAGACATCCTTGATCGTTGGGGATGCTGTAGAGGAGGCAAGTTCTTCAAACCACTTCCATCTTTGTGTGTGTGGTCAAACAGTGTTGCTTTAGAGCGGTTTCATTCTGAGCAGGTTAGGTGCCTAACTCCCTTTGAAGCTAAGGGGAGTTAGGCACTTGTCTAAATACCACTAGGCACCTAAGCAGGTTAAGCACCTGTCTGCCTCATTAGGCACCTAAATACCTTTGTAAATCTGGCCCTTATCTCTGATTAAAAGTCAGTGGTTGCCTAACTCCCAGTTGTGATGTTAGCTTTAAAAATCACACAGAACAGCAAGTTCATGGTGTTCACTGCTTGTACCGTCTGATAGGGAGAGCTGCAAAGTTTGCTCCATTCCATGCTGAATAGAATTCCCATCCAGGTTTTCCAGAAAGAGATGGGTGTATCATAAATCATGGGATGTTTCTTACTGACAGCATGAATTTTTTATGACTCACTCTTAAGGCAGATCCCTGTGTGAACACAGCCTTTGTCTGCTGATTCACAGCTGCTGCAGCGATGCTAAATTTGCAGTGCACCTGCAGGATACTTCTTTGCCTCTCCCTGCTGGCTGAGAATGTGCCCTCTGGGAAGGTGCTGGTGTGGCCTGCGGATTACAGCCACTGGATGAATCTGAAACTGGTGACTGAAGAACTGGCAAGCATGGGCCATAACATTACAGTGCTGGTCCATTCAGCATCCCTTTCTGTCAACGCTACTTCAGCTTCCGCTCTTCATTTTGAACCCATCGAGGTTGGATTTACATCTGACAGGCTGCGATCACTGTGGGAAAAATTCCTGCGTTTCTGGGTCTATGAGAAAGCTCAGGTCTCCTTCTGGGAAATGCATCGCACAATGAGGAGCCTCTCGCGTAGCGTTTCTCACACGCAGAGGCAGATATGTGATGGGGCAGTCAAAAGCAGGGAGCTGCTGGAAAAGCTGCGGTTGTCCCAGTACGATGTCCTTCTCTCAGACCCAGTGCTGCCCTGTGGGGAACTGCTGGCGGAGCTGCTCAGGGTGCCGTTTATCTTCACCCTGAGGTTTTCCCCAGGCTTTGCATTTGAGAGACTGTGTGGTCAGATATTGGCTCCTCCTTCTTACGTGCCAGCTGCCACCTCTGAACTACAAGAAAAGATGTCCTTCTTGGAGAGGACTGAAAACCTATTGCTCTATCTCATTCATGACGTTCTGCAGCTCCTGGTTTGGAAGGAATGGGACTCCTATTACAGCAGTGTATTGGGTGAGTTTCTGTAAGTACTCACCTCTATTTTCGAACGGGATGGGTAACATAAGGTGACACAATGATTGAGTACAGGGCCAGATCCTCAGCTGGTGTAAATGGACTTCAGTGGAATGACGCTGGTTTATATGAGCTGAGTATGTGGCCTTGTCAACTTAGAGGTTTCACTGGAGGGTAAACATCTGTATATCAGAAGTAGGGAAACATAATCAATGGTCTGTTTCCTCTGAGACAGAGGAAGATATTTGATGAAGTCAGTGGGGCTGCCTCTCCTCTGACACTGTTGTAACTCAGGAGTGACTCGACTGAAATCAACAGAGACACTGGCCTAAAACAGGGATAAATGAGGTCTAGGACCCTCTGATTACAACAGCTGTATTGAATCCATACGACCTCTCTCCTCCTTCCCCTTCTCCTCAGCCAGTGACGCTGTCTATTCTGATGAGGGAAGTGTGTGGCTGGAATCTCCTTGGAAGTACTTGTGAAAACCTTGTAGGAATGTTATTTATGTACAGTGGTGTCACACGTGGCTGCTACCAGTACGTTTCACCGAACCACAAATGGCCTGGAATGCCATTGGAAGAGAATAACAAGAGGACCCATGAGTAGTTATTTTCTTTGTCATGGTGCAGTATTTCTTTAGAGCAGGAGGATGCCATCATGCACATGGGTTGAAAATTTCCCTCCTCAGTCAGACACTTCTTGTTTCTCATGTCAAATGCAGCACGGTCCGCCTCAATTATCCAAACTAGGGTCATGTCCATCTTTGGTTAAACCAGCTTTGCACATAGACAAGCCCTTACACCAGAAACGCTTCTGCCATCTGAAACCTCACTTATCTCAGCTTATTCTTGCCTTCATTGCATTCAGATAATGGAGGTTGTACCTAATTTTGAAACGGCGAGATACATCTGAGAGTATCTAATGCCTATGAAGGAGCTGGAGCCGATGACTGCTATTGTCCTGTTGCTCTTCTGCGTGGCTTCTTGCAATTGCTTCATGATGAAACTGCATTTATTTTCTTTTGGGGATTACTTACCATTTTAGGTCTGATTGACAGCCCATTGGAAAGAATCCCATTGGCTTAACCGAGCCCTTCTAACACATAAGAGCAAGAAGTGGATTAAAGGCTGTATACTCCCTGCATAAGGAGAATTCCCAGGTGGCCAGGTCATCTGGCTTTGGGTCCCTTTTATGCCATAGAGTGATAGAAGGAGGGTATGACAGAGTGAAAAGAGACCCAGGGTATTTAACCCAGCCTACTAGCCTAGAGAGAAGCAGCCAACATAGGAAACAAGACTAAGCAAAAGGAAGAAAAAAACTGGTGAAAACAGAGGCCAAAAGAGTCACAGGTGAACTATCCCAAATAGAAGGGGCCTATGCTTGTCTTCACTGGACTTTTGTAGCTGGAGATAATTGATTGACAATTAACTTGAGGTAGTTGATTGCCAGTTAACTCGAGGTAATAAACATGTTTCTAAAGGCTTAATGTGGACACTCCCCACTGCAGATAGGCTATGCTGATCCCTAGAGAAAAGAAGGAGGCCTGTGTAACATGATGAAATGTGTGCCCTGTGTCCACACCAGCCTTTACAAATCTGTTAATTACCTCACGTTAATTGGCAATCAGTTAACTCCAGGTATAAAAGTCTTGTGAAAGCAAGCCCCTAACTTTACAGACTGGCTATAGTAGACATGCTGTCACTTTCCTGGCTTCCCTATCACAGCTCCTGTAGGATCTATCACTGGAAAACAGTTACAGAAACCCACATGCTGCAATACAGTTGTCAATACATTTCTTTCTTTCTCCTTAATGCTCTTTCGCCTACAGTAAGGCAATATTATTTTTCTAGAGTCCTTACTCTATCTGGTGGCTAGTTCTCTCTCTGCACTAGGGGCAGTAGCAGTTAGTAGGAAGAGCAGTAATTCATCCAGAGCGAGAATGAATGTTAGTGATTGCTCAATAGAGGAAGTGATCTGACTCGACTCTTGTTTCCTGCTGTGGATTGAAGCAGGCAATTCATACTGTCTTATCCAGGACAGGATTTTGTGCTAGCACAGGTTGATTTTACTGCCAAGGTATTTCCGGTGCTCTGAGATAACTACGGTTAATCAATGTTGGAAGTTTTAGAACATAATCTCCACCGTGGGCTGTCCTCTTGTGTACCGGCACCTGGATCGAAAGAAGTAGGCAAGCAAGCAGGCAGAGTGGAACAGCTTACAAGGAAACGCAGCCACATGATGTCAGGGAAGTGTATTACAGTACTCTTTTTGGTTCTGGGCTCTGGCTTGGGCTCAGGGTCCTGTGGGAAGGTGCTGGTCTGGCCAGCTGATAACAGTCACTGGCTCAATGTAAAGTCCATTTTAGAAGAGCTCGCAGACAGGGGCCATGAGGTGACTGTGCTGTTGTCTTCATCCTTTCTGGGCACAGATCCCACCAGACTTTCCCCTTTCAATTTTGAGGTGATCCCTGTGCCATTCACAAAGGAGGATATGGCGTCCCTGATGGAAGACTTTCTCCACATGTGGGTTTATGAACTGCCCAACTTTTCATACTGGGAGACCACTTCCAGGATGTGTAACTTAATATCACGGTTCGTGTCTATAAACAAAGCAACTTGTGATTCAGTGGTGTGGAATGAGGAGCTGATGAAGATGCTGAGAGAGGCTGCCTTCGACATTCTCCTTGCAGATCCATTAGTGCTGGGTGGGGAGCTAGTGGCAGAGAAGCTTGGAGTCCCATTTGTCTATACTTTCCGGTTCTCTATGGGGAACACAGTGGAGCGGCTGTGTGGGGGGCTTCCAGCCCCTCCGTCGTACGTGCCTGCCAGCATGGGGGGACTGATGGACAGGATGTCCTTCATGGAGAGGATGAAAAACATGCTCTTTTATGCTCTTCAGGATGTTCTGTTTCACCAGGTTTTTTGGAGAGAATGGAGTCAGTACTACAGCGATGTTTTAGGTAAGGCTGCTCTTGTTTGCCGTGATTGTGTCTTTACTGTGGGCTGCATTGTGTGAAAGGAAGCCTAGTCCAGTGGGTGAGGATTCCAGGCACTCGGCTTCAATTTCCTGGGCCAAGTCTACACTGCAAGCTTTTGCTGGCATAGTGATGTCCATCGGGGCTGTGAAGAGGTGTGATCTCTGCCGGCAGCTGTACTGGCCCTAGCCCCGAGCATAAACAAAGTTGTATCAGCAAAACTGCCCTTTTACTTGTATAGCTTGTTTTGCTTAGAGGGGCTGGAACAAGCTACACCGGAAAAGCCCAGTTTTGCTGGTATAAGCTGCAGTCAAGCTAGTATACTGGCAAAACACTCCTAGTGTAGGCCTGGCCTAAGGCACTTTTATATCAGTTTAACTGTGTCTGCACCAGGGGTTGTACCGGCATAGGTATTCTGGTAAAAAAAAATCACATCCCTAAACCGAAAAGGTACATCAATACAAGAACTGCATGGAGCCCACACCTTAATCTCTCTGTGCTTAGTTCCCCAGCTGTACATTCTTGTGACATTTCCAGCTTTACCACTTCCATTCACAGCTAGAAAGGGGAGTGCGAAGAAAAAGCCTTGGTCTCAGTGCCCAGCTGTGCCAACTTCCTGCTCTACATGGTGCAGCTGAGAGGGTGGGAGGCAGAGGAGAAAGGGAAAGACCCTAGGAAACGCTGCTGGTTGAAACACACAGCTTTTTCTCTCCCCTCCATGGATTATTTCCCGGTAGAGGAAATTGGGGCCTAAAATCATTCCATCCGTTTCTTTTGGCATGATCCTATAAAGCAGCACAACAAGTAACCACCAGGCCTTGTGGTGAAAGCACTGGACTGGGAATGCAAGAGATCTGGATTCTAGTCCCAGCTCTGCCACAGACTGCCTCTGTGACCTTGGGCACGTCACTTCACTTCTTCATGGCTCCATTTACTATGGGTAAAATAATCCTTCCTCTCTCCCATCTGTTTGTCGTCTCGCCTGTTTAGATGGCAAGCTTTCTTGTTGTTTGTTTGTATAACTCCTAGCACTACGGGGCCTGATTTTCAGTTGGCACCTCTAGGTTCTATTGTGACATTAGTAATAATAAGGTGGCTCACAATAGGTATACCAGGAACCATTTTGAAAGCTGTTTGCGGTGAATTGATCAAATGTTACACTCTGGGCTCTAGTTTCTATTTTGAACCTTATTATAAGAATAACAAAATGAGGCCTGATTTCCAAAGGGGCTAAGCGTGTGCGGGTCCACTTGACGTAAACAAAGCTGCCAGGGCTTTTCAATCAGGTCCTGACTAGTCTACGTTTTCAAAGAATCTGTTTCAAATTAAGGTGTGATCAGGGCAACTACTGCAGTGGAACAATGAGTAGCTAATTATAAGCGACTAGTGCTGTTGAAATGGAGACATTTGGGACATCACCCAGTGAAGGCGCAGCATACTGAGTTTCCCAAATGAGAAGGGGTAGCAGTAGCGTTGTTGTAACATTCATCTGGTTTTGTCTTTTGAGACTGTCGTCTCTTTGGGGCCCAGCCTGCTGTCCTGTGTGTATGTACTGTGACAAAGTTCCTCCTCTATCTTGGTGGGTCCTGCGCTTAATGGCGGATTTTCTTGCCTCAGAGATTCAGCATGTGGGTTGGGGAACAGCCCAGAGACCTTCCCCTCTGGAAGAACCCACAGTCCAGGTCAATTGGGAGGCTTGGGGGGGACCCGGGCCCGCCCTCTACTCCAGGTTCCAGCCCAGGGCCCTGTGGACTGCAGCTGTCTATAGTGCTTCCTGTAACAGCTGCATGACAGCTACAACTCCCTGGGCTACTTCCCCATGGCCCCCTCCAAACACCTTCCTTATTCTCACCACAGGACCTTCCTCCTGGTGTCTGATAACGCTTGTGCTCCTCAGTCCTCCAGCAGCACACCCTCTCACTCTCAGCTCCTTGCGCCTCTTGCTCCCAGCTCCTCACACTCCCACCACAAACTGAAGTGAGCTCCTTTTTAAAACCCAGGTGCCCTGATTAGCCTGCCTTAATTGATTCTAGCAGCTTCTTCTTAATTGGCTCCAGGTGTCCTAATTAGCCTGCCTGCCTTAACTGGTTCTAGCAGGTTCCTGATTACTCTAGTGCAGCCCCTGCTCTGGTCACTCAGGGAACAGAAAACTACTCATCCAGTGACCAGTATATTTGCCCTCTACCAGACTCCTGTACCCCACTGGTCTGGGTCTGTCACAGTATAGAACCTAGCCTATATCAGGGGCTACTGCACTGCAAATAATGCTGATATGCAAAAGGGGAGAAGACGAATCATTCCCCATGTGAACTCGGATATAAAATGGAGTCATGCTGGTTTGCTTTCCCTGGTTTGATTGGCTGACATTGCTCACTAAAAAAAGAATTTAAACCCACTGATATAAAGTCACTAGGTAGTTGGCTCTTTGTCTTATGTACAAAGGGTTTCAACTGTCTTTACAAAATAAAAAATCTAGACCAAAGGAGAGATTTTCAAAAGTGTGTAAGGGATTTAGGAGCACAAGCACCATTAAGGGACTTGAGCTTCTAAATCCTTTTGTTTTTGAAACCCTCCCTCCCCCTATTATTTATTCAAATCAACTAGCTACTTTTCTAGATACCAATCTAATTTATTATGCTTGTGGTAGTTGGTTGTTCGTTCTATGGTAGCTCCTGTGAACCACAATCAAGGCCCCTGTGCTAAGCCTTGTACAGATAAGTAACAGAAAAGATAAGCCCTGACTCCGAGATCTTGCAATCTGGGTGTCAGACCTGATGTGAGAGGTGGACAAAACGGATACATGCTATTGAGAGGATGCGGTAACAATACATTGATGTGAGTTCAGCAGAGAAGCGAAAGTGTCAGCTTGCCATATGACCTAAGAAGTGCCAGAGAGGAGTGATTTGTTGGCATCATGGCAGAAGTAGTTAAAACTTGGAGTTTGATTTTTATCAGAGTTTTGTGAAACAAACTACAGGCAATATTATGAGGAAGCCGGGCATTGACAATGGGGATTGGTCCTGCTTTGAGCAGGGGGTTGGACTAGATGACCTCCTGAGGTCCCTTCCAACCCTGAGATTCTATGATTCTACCTGTGTAACCCCCACACCTCCTGGGGTGTGGTGTTCTGTCCCATGTAGTGGCACCGAGACCACTTAGCGAGCTAACAGCCATGTGGCTTTTAGCTCATGCAGTAGAGGCTCATGCATTTAGCTCCAGATGTCCCAGGTTTGATCCTGCCTGAAGAGAACCGGGATCTGTCAGCATTACACCTGCTCTGAGAGTGGACACTTTCATGAAATCCTCTACTCCCAAAGGCTTAATTGGTTGATCAAGAATGGCATTCCTCCAACTGCAGAAGAGAACATTACGCTGAGAGACCTGGCTCCTAACCAATTTCCCTCTTAATGATAAAAGCAGGCTCTAATGTTCAAGGCTGAGTGTCCTAGCTTCTCTGTTATCTAAATGCACTAGCAGTATCGCACTTTGCAGTGCATGCAAAAAACTTTGGCCCTGATTGTGCCCTAGTGATGGAGTGGGATGGGGCCGAGGTAGAGGTGATGCAGTGTCCCATGGAAAGATAATACAGTGACCCATGCTCCATCCTTCAGTTGCCTTCACAGCCACCTCCTCAATTGCTCCCAGAGCTGGCAAAGAGCTCTCTCTGGGGCCAGGGATCTGCGCACACACAGAGCTGGGGTAGGGTGATTAGGATTGTCTCGCCATCAGCCCTGCAGTTTCCCAGAGGAAGATAATACGGTCCCCAGCTCTATTATCATTCCGCCCCTCCCCCACGGTGTGAGACTCCCCTTACAGGAGGGATCCTGGAGACAGCTATGTTTGGGGGAGTCCCTGTAATCCTGGCTCCACTGCACCGTGGCTAGGGAACGGCTCCGAGTCCCTCTGTGCAAGTGTGGAGGCACAGGGCTTCCATGCCATTTGCCCAGGCCTCTTGCTGATTTGGTGAGATCCACGTGGCTCTTGGGGGATGGTGGGGTGAGTGGGCTACCCCATTCTGTGTGGAGCCATCCCCCATGGAGCATCTCAGGAGAACCTGTCCCCCTTTGCTTTGCCCTGGGGGTTTTCCCATAGGGGGAGGGGCAATCTGGCCCTATGTTTTGTGTGAATTGGTGCTGGCCCGTGTGACACAGAGGCTCTCCTGCCCTGCCCCCACCACCATGGAGAAATTGGGAGCCAGCGAGATTGTTTCACTTGGGGAGCAAGGGATGCCACAGCAGCAGCCAAGTGGGCAAGAACTGTGACACTCTGATGTCCTAAAGCTTCCTCTGCCTGCCCGTCTCCTGGAGTGCCTCCCACGATTGCTGACTCTCCCCAGGGACCTCCTCAAGCACTACTCCTATCGCCCAGCGCGGAGGCAGAAACCAGGCGCCCAGTCACACATTCACATTCAGGACAAGTGTTCCCAAATAATTGCGTCTGTAAAACTATTCGTCAGCCAATCACAACTCATGAATAAGTTGGTGACAGTGAGTCATGATTGGTGGAAGAGAAACCAGTGATTACAGGGTCAAGTCCTGGTAACAAGGGTCTGATCCAAAGCCCACTGAAATCAGTGGAAAGACTCGCATTGATTTAGTGAGCTTTGGACTGGGGCCATAGTTTGCAGTTCAGACTATAATTTCCCTGCAGATCTGAAAATGCACATTGTGTAACAATAGCTGTCCAGCAGAGGCAGCGGGTTGTTTTCAGTCCTGCAGGAGAATCCATCAGTTTCATTCCGGAAGGAGAATCTTAGGTGATCCAGAACAGGATTTGGTACTTGCTGAGTCTTTCCCCACATATGGTAATTTTGCATTGAAATGACCTTATATGAAGATTGGACTGTTCAGGATCTAGTCTTTGTAGACTGTGCTTAGAAGTGTTTACACTGTGGACTTTGGAACAGAACTTAGCTCCGATAAGAGTTGCAGACGTGCAGCCATGATGTTGAAGAAGTGGCTTTTGCTGGTGCTGTGGGTTCACAT